GGATCAGTTCTTAGAGCCTGTTAGCACTGTTTCTAAGCCTGTGTAAATTGAAGATTATAGTAAAATTAGACTAGACATACAGATTCCTGCCATGGTGTGGGTTGTCCCTGTGGGCCAGCACTGTCCTGAGCCCATTGTATCGTTTATGAATATAAGCAGGACAACCCATTTCTCTTTGTCCACAAAACCCAGAAGACGGTGATGAAGGCGTGTATGATTTGCTGACACGTTACAGTTTGTAGGCTAGCACCTGTGGTCGTGTAAGCTCAGCACCCCTGAGAGAGGTGTTGTTTGGTTACCTGTCTGACTGATGAGGAAAATGAGGGCAGGATGGTGAGCTCGCAGGGCGTACGGAGAAAGGCCCTTCTGCAGGGGCCCTTTTGAGCTGCGTCGTTCAGAGTCTTTGCCACCATTCGCTCTCCGAGATGGAACCTCGCATGCTCAGCTCCTCAAGGAGGCCTGGAGGATCTGGAACAGGCAACTCTAAGAGTTGCAGACACCATACATTATGCATAAAGCAGTTGCCCTTCTAACTGACTTCCTCCCTCCCTAAAATTTATCTTCACGTTTGCTTCACTCAGCCCTTTGGCCGGTTGGCAGCTTTTAAAACATGACCTTAGGTTTCTCCATCCCAACACGTGTCCGCTTGTTGCTCCCACTCCTTGGCTGCTCCCCTGGGGTTTGTTCATTGACTGAGACTTAAGGAAGTAGCCTCCACCATGAGCACCTGAGAGATGAGGTTCCCAGCATAGGAGGATGACCTCCAGGGAGCGGACGTCCCCATGTCGCTAAGGTTCAGAGTGCTGTGGCGAAGGCACCCGTTTGCCGGCCTTTCCCTCGCATTCCTCCGCCTCCTCCAGCCCCACGTGTCCCCACATGGGTCTACACAAGGCCTCTTGGAAGGGCAAGAGGTGGATGGTCTGTTCTTTGTGGCCGCAGCAGAGCAGGACTAATGAAATTCAGGTTTCACCTCCTAGACTATTGGGCCACCAAGTTTGATATGGATTTCATATGGTAATTCATTTATTTTAATTCACACACTAATTAAAGCAGAAAAGCTCATTTTCCCATTGGATGTATGATGAGTCGTGTTTGTGTTGGAGCATATTTGTCCATTCCTCTTGCTGAAAGTCGCTGCCATGTACTGAATGATGCCAGAAGCTCTTGAGGACTGTCAGTGTAAGCCAGGAACGTTCTGATAACGACATGTGCATGTCCTTCCCTGCAGGGGCACCCATGGCTACATGGCTCCCGAGGTGTTGCAGAAGGGGACGGCGTACGACAGCAGTGCTGACTGGTTCTCCCTGGGCTGCATGCTCTTCAAACTCCTGAGAGGGTGAGTGAGGCGGGCCCTTTCACTGTTGTCAGCATGACATGTCCTTAAACCAAAATCCAGAGTATTTAGAAATTATTTGACCCTAATATTGTTTTGGGGTACCTGGGTGGTGCGAGGAGCCCTGGGGGAGTGCGGTGGGTAAGCACTCAGATGTGAACAAAAGGTCAGCAATTCAAACCCACCATGGGAGAAAGATAAGACAGTCTGCTCCTGTAAAGATTGACAAACTTGGGAACCCCCTGGAGCAGTTCTACTCTGTCCTATAAGGTTGCTGTGAGTTAGAATCGACTCAGTGGCAGCGAGTTTGGTTTTTTTGGGTTTGAGTGGTGCAAAAAGTTGATGTACTCAGCTGCTAACCAAAAGGTTGAGGTTGGAGTCTACTCAGAGGTATCTCAGAAGAGAAGCTTGGCACCTACTTCCAAAAAATCAGCCATTGGAAACCCCAACAATCAGCCATTGGAAACCCCAACAATCAGCCATTGGAAACCCCAACAATCAGCCATTGGAAACCCCATGGAGCACAACTCTGCTCTGACACATGTCGGGTCACCATGAGTTGGAATCAACTCATTGGCAACTGTTTTCATTATTTTTAAATATTATTTTAAATCACACAGTGAGTGACCTCTCAGTCAAAAAAAAAAAAAAAACAAATTCACTGCCATCGAGTCACCATTAACCTAAAAGATAAGCATTCTTTCTGTCTTATAGCACTGGGAGTTTGTTTTCCAAAAGCTTATAGGTAAAAGGCATGGTTTAGTGTTTTTGTTCCATGTTCCATGTGTGTCACCTAGTTAGTTCTGACTCATAGTGACCCTATGGCACAGAGTAGAACTGCCCCCATACTGTCTCCTTGGCTGCCATCTTTAAGAGAACAGATCGCCAGGTCTTTTCTGCCATGGAACGGCTGGTAGGTTTGAACTGTTGACCTTTTGATGAGTGGCCGAGTGTTTAAACATGGTGCCACTAGAGCTCCTTTTTTGTTCCATACCTTGTAGGAACTACAACACCTTTGAGCTTAAAATTAAGATTGCTGTTAGATATTTCTACTAATAAGCCATGCTCTGGGAATAAGTGTTGTTTTGAGATGTGGATAATTGGAGAGGGTTAGGGTTAGGGTTTTTTCAGAAGCCATGTTCTGGGAATAAGTGTTGTTTTGAGATGTGGATAATTGGAGAGGGTTAGGGTTAGGGTTTTTTCAGAAGCCATGTTCTGGGAATAAGTGTTGTTTTAATGTGTGGATAACTGACGAGGGTAGGGTAATTTTTTTCCCTTAGAAATTAATTACTTATCATTGTCTTGTAGGCTTGAAGCATTTTGAGGGTTAAAATTTTGGAGGGTTGGGTTTTGAAGGCCCAAAGTAAACTCATTTCAAAAGTTTATATGTAAATATGCTGAAATTAACTTGTGTGTCTTTCAAAGCTAATATTTTGCTTGATTCTTGTTCTAATCTACCAAACATAATGGAATAGTGGGGGTAAGATCAGGAAACCAGACCACTTTCAAAGTGTGTTCTGAAACTGAGCACTTGACAGTTATGTTAATGTTTTTGTTCATTTATTTTTAGTCATTTTTTATCAGGACCTTAAGTTTTTTAAGATGTTTTTGATTTTCTTCCTCACAAAGGTACAAAAAAGTGTTGTACATTAAAATTTTCTAGTCAAGACTTTTCCTTTTATTATTTCCCTTATACACACAGTCCTGTTTGTTTGCTCAACTGTTCACACGTCCATCAGAAAGCTGGATTGAGCACGTCTGGGTCTTTGTATGGTGTCTAGCACATTCTGGAGAGAGGTTGAGTTCCATACCTTCCCCCTCAACTTATCTCTGGGCACCCACACCAGTTCCGTAGGACCGCGATGATCTAGTTGTGCTCTGCTCACTGTTCACTAGGGAGCCACAATTGTATTATTGCCTAGAGAGTCAGGTCCTATTATCCCTTAATTGAATTATTGTATTTGTGGAGCCTGGATGGCCTTATTTCATGTCATCAGACTCACTGACCTAATCAGAGAGTTTATGCAAAACAAACAGCAAACCACTTCTATGCAGAAGATGCTCTTATTCGCAGTTGAGTCTCTGTGCACACAGGGAGTGGATGGGAAAAACACCACCAATCTTTGTTTTCAGTCCCTTCTGTTTAGCGTTATCCTTAGCATTGTGGTTGAAGATCCAGCGTCCATACTTGCAGACTTGTGCTGTGACAAAACTCTCCATGTGGCAGCAAAACTGTGGAATGCATTAGGTTGAGATAAAAAACATCCGCAAGGGACTGCAAGGGTTGTGTTCAGGGCTGTGTTTGTTTCTTTATTTAATTTTATAATTCTGTCTATTTTTAATAATATATAGACTGGAGGGAATCTGGAATAACACTGTTTTTGAAAGATCTGTGGGTTTTGTTGAATTATTAACTCTGCATGTTCCATCAGTGTGGTTTGTGGCTAGTAAAGTGAATTTAGGTATATTTGGCCATAATTCATGTTTGGAGTACTGAATTCTTGTTGTTAGTTGCCATCGAGTTGGCTCTGACTCAGTCCCTTTTCCCCAGGGCTTTGAACCAGTTCTTCCCAGTTCAATCACGGCCAAAAAAGCAAAACCAGAATGATCCCCAATTTTTCAAATGTGTTTGGACCAGAACTCTAACTGTACAGGCAAAATTAAAAGTAGATGCCCTGCTGGAAACTTAATCTCCCTTGTAGAAAATAAGGGCAGCATGCACACTGCACAGCAAGTAAATCTCTGGACCAGCAGAGTCAGAAACAGTGATGCCCGGCTCAAAGATGGCGGCCAGGAAAAATGTTTCAAATGTGTGTTACTTTCCCCAGTCCGGGCAAATGAGCCAGGTCCCACATCAGGCCCCTAAAGGGGCTCACTATGCCTCTTCTGAGTCTCTCATTCATTTTCAACGATCCATAATTTTTCCTGTTTTGGTTATCATTCCACTTCACCCAAATTGTTCCAATTTCACTATCTGAACCATGACTGAGCTGATTCGAACCAGTTTGAAGCCCTTCTTCTCCTTCCTTCTCACATCTGTGCACTGAGGTTGAACTAGTGGTTGCTAAGGATCTTTTTCACTCCTCCTCTCTATGATGTAATTTTTGCACCAAGCAGCATCCCACTGCTTCTGCTGAAGCGCTTTCTGTACCCCTGGCTTTGTATTGACACCCTACAAAAATACCGCGAGCCATGGGGAAAAGGAATCAGGGTGAGAGAATGTTGCTGTGGCTTAAGAAGGTGTTTTTTTTTTTTTTTTTAACTTTTCATTCAGAATTTTTTTTTTTTTTGATTGTTGAAAATGTATGCAGCAAAACTTGGCACCAATTCAGAAGTTTCTCCATGTACAGTTAGTGACATGGATTTCATCAAGTTGTACAACAATTCTCACTTTCCTTTTCCTAGTTGTTCTTCCCCTAACAACATGAACTCACTGCCCCCTCGGTTTCCTGTCCGACCTGTCCTGCTGCTGTTTGCAGTTTGATCCCACAGAGATGGTTCTTCACAAGAACACAGCGGTCAAGCCAGGCGTTCTTTAGTAATTAAGCTAAACTGTTGTTTGGTTTTAAGATGACTCCAGGGAGTATTTTTGGTTCAGGGGTTAAAAATTATGGCAGGCAACAGATTCAGGCATTCGTCCATCCTCCATGGCTTCAGAAAGTGTGGAATCCATGAGAACTTGAAATTCTGATGTACATCTTCCCCCCTTTCGATCAAGATTCTCCTATAAAATCCCTGATCGAAATTGAGACAGTGTTTTGCATTCCTGGACTTGTGGTGATGAACTAAGCTGTTCATCCGCCAGTCCTGCTTCTGGGTGCTGGGCACCACTTCCATTTCAGATCTCTGTCACGTGTTCAGTAGCATGTGTGTGTGAAGATATGTCCATGTTGCAAATTTGTGGGGTTGTCATCATGATCCTCCATCTAGATTTAAGATATCTGCTCAGGAAAAGAATTGATGTGACAGTGGTCTTGATCTTGAGCTTCTTACCACTGCGTGTCTGTGCCTGAAGGTGCACCTACGGAGGAAGCTTGTGTGGTGGCGGGTGCCCACACGGACGTGGCTCTGAGGGCACTGGAGCCCTGCCTGGGGTAACTGAGGTTGTTCCATGCAGGAGAAAAAGGCAATGTTTATAAATATTTTGACAACTCTCAGCTTAGGTTCAAAATGCATATTTTGTGTAATGTGCTATCTTTTTGGTATTCTAAAATTAATTTTTAAATAACTTTTGATTGTGATTTGGTTGAAAATTTATAGAGCAAATTGCTTTTCCATTCACTAGGTCATCCATGTTTGTTTTGTGACGTTAATTGTAACCCCTACACTATAACAGCACTCTTCCCCCCACACACCGTGTTGACCTTTTCCACTTGCCCTTCTTTCCTATCCCTTCCTGCCTTCTGAGTTTTATCCCCATGCAAACGCTGCCCTCTTGATCTCATATGTTTGGTTGTTCTAAGGAGCACATACCTCTCTGTTGTC